AAAATTTTTCACTCAATTCAAAACTCTTTTCAAAACTCATTCGCTAAACAATTTTTTCACACTCAAATCATAATTCCAAAACTTACAAACTCAAAATACAACTCTATTCTCAAATCATATTTAGAAAATTTTACCAAACACAACCTAATTGTTTTAGCCACTTTTCAAATAAATTATTATTTTTAGCTCTTAAAAAAATCAAAAAAATAAAAAAATTATGAAAAAGCAAATCCCAAACTCTCATTTAAAAATTTAAGCGGTTATAAACAAATTTTTATTTATGTCCTCAAAGAGCACAACAATCTAGACATACATAAATAGCATTTAAACAAGGGAAATTAAGAATCAGTGGTAATTTCAAAAAATTATTACAAATCCATAAAAAAATTATGTTCTTTAATTATTAATATTTATAAAATTTATCACTTATTTGTAATTATTTTTCAAAATCAAAATGAAATTCCCTTGTAAACAGCTGAAGGTTTGTAGACTTTCTTTTCTGGTTGAACATATGGTTATTATATTGAACAAACAGTTTGGAAGTGGTCAAGCAAGTAGAACTTTGGAGGAGATTGTTTTGTTTAATCATTTGCGTAATGATTTTTTAAATCCTTTGGAGTATCTCAATATATTAGTCAACTCTTTCCTATCGCATTAGAAATGTCAATTATGTAACAAGTTCCATTTATGAAGCCCTTTCTTGCTCACCCCAACTTGCTTGTCTATTATTAAAATAATTTGGTGATTATAATATTTGCTAGAAAGATAATACTGTGGACAAAAAAGGCAATTCAATAGAGGGCATTCTTTTTTGCTTTTATTTTTTAAAATATTTTTTGGAATCGTAGCTAATAAATACATAATTATATGCTCATTCAACCATGAAATTTGAGTTTAAATTCTCTTAATAATGTCTACTTGTGTTTCTCAATGCATAAACTATGTTGGTTTGTTGAGAGAGTTAGAATTTGAAATGTCAACCTACAAATGCCAACGCAAATTTAACTTAGATTGATTTGCCTTTGCATACACAAAAAAAAAAATTCATGGAATGGAAAAAATTAGGGAAATTTAATCAAAACTTCTCCCTTTGACCTTTATTTAATCAAAATGACAACCTAATTTATTTTGCATCATAAACTCTTTGAGGAGAAGGCGCATAATTGAGTACGGATATAGTACAATATATATATATATATCACAGAATTTTTTTGACAAGAAATACTTTGATTTTATTTTATACAAGTTTAAAAATTTGTGTATATGTATTTTTGGTTGGTTCATCTAGTATGTACCCATAAAATGTTACTATAAAGCAGAGTAACATATTACTGTTTATGTTAATTTTGACAGTATTTTTTATTTTATTTTTTTATTTTTTAAGAATTTCATAGTCAATATGCATCATGTTTGATAGATCATGATGATAGAATTTTAGAATACTACATTTTATTAAAAATCGACATTTAGATTAAAAGTTGTATTATTTTAAAGTTTAAAATATTAAATTACTCACTAAATATAATTTGGTAATAGTGGTATGTGTTAGACTTCTTAAAGAAATTTTTTTGTACTTGTCCTTAATGCATTAAAGTTTTACTATGAGGAGATTTTGACCAAATCTTCCAAAAAATTATGGTGTTGTTTGATGACATTTATATTTACAATTTCCTATTAATATTTAAAAAAATTTGATAACAAAAAATAATTTTTTTTTGTTTTTTTGGTTTCTATTCTCATTTCAAAATAATATAAACAGTTTACAAAAATTTACTGAATTCCATAAACATAAGTAGAGTTGCAAACGAGCCGAGCCAAGCTAAGCTTTGTTGAG